AGCCGCAGTAATTTCGCAACGTTATTTGTTTAGCTAATTAGACTTCGGAAGTACGTTGGGTCTGTACTTGATAAATTAATTTAATTAAATAAATCTTGCATCATTGTTAAACTTTTGCTACCTTTTTCAATACAATTTTGAATGGGAAAATTTTGTGTTACATTAAAACCTTGACAAAAATTTCACGTCTAGATTAAGGATTTCACTAATGCATCATAAAATGAAGGGACCCATTAGCAAGATGTCAAATTTTTTGTTGCTCGATATTTTATCGATACTCTGCATCATTCATGCATGAGAATTATTTCAACATTATTATTTAAAATTTGCTGAAACGAAAAAGATTTTTTTTTTTTTTGCGATGAATCCTTAAAGCGAAATAAATGTATTTACAATCGTTTCAATTATATATATAATTAAGAAAAATTAAATTCATGATGAAAATAAAATAAATCTCTCCCAACAATGGACGGTGAACATAAGAGGAAAGTTACATTATTTATCAATACCGAAATAGGTCCCACCAAAGTCCATAAGTTCAAAAGTGGTCCCAAACAATCTCAAACTAAACAAACAGCATACACGATATCGTTTTATAGCATACCGCTAAATATGGCCATGATGGCAGTTTAGATACGATAACGAATATTGATATGATCTTAATAACGATTCTGATGATTCTCTACAGAATGAACCCTCCATAAGGATCATCATATAAAAAAAAAAAATAAAAAGGAAAAGAAATCTTTTTTTTTTTTGTTTCGAAACCTTTATTGGAAAAAGATAATGTATTGAAAGGAAAATGCTGCTTCATCATGTAAAAGGACAGCGAAAGAGAGTTTTATAGTTTTAAAGAGAAATTTGAAATGTAAAGAAAAGTGGAAGATTAAAAAAAGAACAAGTTACACACCTTAATCCAATTTTGGGCAACTGGAGATTTTAGACAGATTTTGGATATATCCAAATTCTTGTCCAAATTATTTATAATTGAAAAATATGTCCAAAACCCATCACTGCCTTAATCTTTCCCTGAAATATGGACATTATTTTTTTTTAGTATTATATTTATTTCATACTATAAAATAACATCATATATATTGCTTATGAAAATAAATATTAATTGGTAATATAATTAGATACAAAAAAATATTAAATTTCATTATTTATTCAAAATAAATGAACCACAACCAAATAAAGTACTATTTTAATTGTTTAATTATTAATGGAGAGTTTATTGAAAAATCGATCTAGATGATGTAAAATTTATGACTTTCACGACTTTCGAAAAAAGTCAACCAACATACATTAATAATGCTAAAAGATACTTTTTAAGAAATTCCATAGACTTTACAACGAATGATACAGCCTTTTCTTCGTTATGATCTGTTAATTTAAAAAAAAAATTAAAATTAAAAGCTTGAAAGAATGTAAATGACTTTTATAAAAAACATTGTAGACTTACAAACAAACGAAAACAATTATTTAGTTACGAGTTTTTTGTAATTTAATATTCACAGTATTCACAGTTAAATTCTACAAGAGGATAGGATATATTGAGAGATGCTTAAGTTGACTTTTGTTTTTGTGGTGTTGGCAAATAATTTTAATGATTGCAATGCAATAGGTATAGCAAGATCATAAAAAATGATGGTTTAAATTTAACTTAACGAAACGAAAATAAGATAATTTATTAAAATATATGTCAAAATAAAAATGGTCAACCATGCTAACATTGTGATTTTCATTTTCTTTTTGTGTTTTTTTTTTTTTACTAAATGATATCGAGGGTTTATATTTAAAAAGAAAATAAATTTGTTTTTTTTTCGAAAAAATGGGAAAGAGAATAGTAAAATCGAATTAAAAAGAAAAAATTAAAAAATTTAATATATTCATATGATCAAGATAGTCTATCCAAAAAGTGAATCAACAATAGATTATAAACCATCAAACTAAAATTATGGAAAAAATTCTTTTTTTATTTTCTTGCAACTTTAATTCTTTAATGTACATTATCGTTTATTAAACTTTTTTACATGATCTGTATCAATTTTAAAGTATTATTTTATTATTACGCATTTGCATCTTAGAACCTTTCTATTTTTTTTAATATATCGAAAATTTTTTATTTGAAGCGCAAACTTTATTTGTTCAACGAAATGGATCAAAAAAAATATTTTTCTGAACAGTTTTGGAACCATTTTAGACAAAAATATATTATAAATTCTTTTTGCACGTTGATTGTGATCGGTATGTTTTTTTTTATTAGATCATTTTTATGGGAATTAATCCCTACTACTTCAGGCAAATAAAAGACTTGTACATAACGTGATAAATATAATAAATATTCAATTTGATGTATTTTGAATAAACAAATTAAAGTATTTTTTCGGATTTACATTCTTTGTTGGACCTTTCTATAAAGCAGTGTCAAAAAAAAATTTCTTTTCATTTGGAAATCCGATTAGTAATACATATGATATTTAGCGAACGCAATTTCCATTCATCCCTCCATTCATTCATTTAATAGTTTTATTTTTTGTGACATTATTAAACAAAATTATCCTTATTTATTTTATTCTGACATTCGTTTTTTTCAAATATGTTAATCATACTATCAGGATTGTTGAAGTGCAATTGTTCCATGTAATTATTAATCATTTTAATCTATAGAGGAATGCTTTTATTAGAAACCTTTGTAAAATAAAAGTATGTTTTAAAAAAAAGTAAAATATATGGTAATAATCAAACAATCTTTGAACTACTTTTATCATCATTATAATGAAAAAAGCAAATAATTAAAAGTCTTTTGATTTTCCGATTCAAAATGGCTACCAGTCAGATGCTAATAGATTTCATTTTCCCTCTAAAAAAAATATACAGCCAAGGATTTTTTTTTTTTTAAAAATTATAAAAAATAAAAAAAATAAATAAAATAAAATAAAATAAACGATATGATATGAAATAAACAAAATTATATCATTATACCATATATCCCTTTAATTCTTTTAAAGAACTTCACTTTATTCCTTCAAAAATATTTGCTCTATATAATTAATATCAATATAAAAATCAATTTTTCACCAAATCAACATGGGTTATTATGACAAAGGTTTCCATAATGATTTGGAATATTGGCTTTGGAAATTTCCTTAGTGAGGTATATGAAATCTTTTATTATGACAAAAGTTTCCGTAATGATTTGGAATATTGGCTTTGGAAGGATATTCCTTAGTGAGGTATATGAAATCTTTTATTTTAAGTAATGCAATTTATGAATTATTATATGAATCTAATAAAAATCAAATCCTGGTTCTTTATAATATTTCTAGAACTAGAATACTTTCAAAAAAAAATAAACAATTTAGAGATTCTAAAAGTAGAATCAATTATAAAAAGGATTAATTACTATTAATCACTTTTTGAGTTTTTATTAAAATGCCATTTTCAAATCTAATTCAAATAATTGTAATGATATTTTTACTGTTGTATATTATTTTAAATTAATATAATTAGGTATCTAATTCAGCTTCTTAATTTTTGATAGTTAGTAATTAAAAAAAATAGCTATGAATAAAATTATTAGAATCAATAGAAACTCTACTTTTTTTTTGAATCAAACGCATTATATGGGAGCTGATCTATTAAAAATGGGTTACGGGACTAGTAAATTGATTTTGAGTAATTGATGGATCCAAAAAATAGTTACACCACAATAAACATACTTAGCCAATAAAAAATTGCACTAAAAATAATATTGAGTCTAATCAATTAATAAGGCTTTTATATATATAACATTTTATTATAATAATTATTTTTACAAATATTTAAATTATTTTAAAAATAATGAAACTATAAATTATCTAAAATTTTGAGATTAAATCCGCCATGTCGTGTCGTTATATCAATTTCGTAACGAGAGATTTTTGAAGCATTTTATATATGTCGATCATTTATCGATCATTGCTAAAATTTACGTTGATCATTTCTATAAAATCTAATTTTAGATATTTTGATTGACATTACACAGAAATTTAAGCATTTTTGCTGGCCAAATTACTTGTTTTATTATAAGCTAATAGCCTCTAAAAATTTAACCAAATAAAGTTCATTTAATATACTATAATATGAATCAAAAATCTCATTTTTTGTTGAAAGGCCGTAACCCATTTTTAATAGATCAGCTCCCATATATTCAGCTAGAATTTTTATCTTGATTTATTATTTTTTTTCTTTTTTTTAAATTAGTATTTAATAATTAATGCCTGATATGTTATGATATATTATAATTAATGTATACTATATTTAGTTTTCTTGGATATTTTAGAATTATTAAGACTTTAATGCAGCAGTAAAAATTTTATATCGCTATAGCAGACTATCAATATAGATGGCTTTATAAATTTGTTAAATCTACCTTTAATAATAAATTTTAATTATTTACTCATATCGATTGACGAAGCTATTGCTAAATATATGAATATAATATTTCACAATATTTAAATAGGGTTTGAAAACTATTACCTGCAAACTACTGGAAGAACTTTGGCGTTAAATTTTTTTTAAACCACGTTATCGTAAAAAATTGTTCAAGATGTATCTTATATATTATTTTGTTTAAAAACTAATTGTTTATTTATTTATTATAATATTTAGCTTAACCTTCAAGATGTGGATTTTTGAGTAAGGAGGTATAAATTACTTACAATTATATTGATGGAATGCATGATGTTTAAAAAAGAAATTTGATAGACCAGTTGAAATGAAAAATATAACCTTGCTTGTCAGTTGGCTTATTGCCGTCTATTTTTACATGATGAAGAAATAGATCATTGTGGTATGGGAAAGTTGTTCAGTAAAATTATTTTTACTGGAACTGCATTGGTAACGCTTATATATATTACAAATGTCTGGTTGACCAAAATCGTAGCCAGCTTTACCCAACTCAAAATTTACAAATTCACTTGACATCTAGTTTTATATTATGTTCTTTTTTAATCACGCTACTTTACTGAAAACTGTAAATTTAAATAATTAGAATATGAAATTTATTTCATTATTAATTTTATCGCGAAATAGAAAATTTTATATTTTGTTTCGAGTCTAAAAAATGAGATGTTGACGCTAATTACAATCACAAATTACAGCTTAGACTCTTCTAAAATTTAAAATAACATATTGAAGATTCACATGGCCATAAAAATCTACGAGATAAATTAGTTGGATGTGTTACCTTCTATTTTCGTAAGGAAGGTAATAAATGTAGTTATTTCTTTTATTTCGTTACATCGCAATAAAATAAAATATATCTACAAGTTTTAAATGAATTCAACAATTACTACCGCTGCCGGGTCTCTGTAATAGGCCCGAAGATAAAAGAACTATCTAATTACAATATTGTTCCAATTCAAAAAAATATCACGTGTCTGAGTTTCTTCGGAATAAAAACTAGAAAAATGATCATTATCAGAGTTTTTTCCAAAATTTTTTTTATAGATCTAAGAGCGAAGCGAAGAATTTTTATATTAAAATTTCCTTCCCATGGCTTTGCTACGACATTCTCTAGAAATATCAGGAGACTTGCTTGGATGACGGAAATGCCAATTAATTGATCCCTGATGTCAAAAGTGGTCATTTTGACATATTTCTTCAATCTTGCCAAGAAGTCCGTATTGTCCAAAGGTCAGAAAAGTCAATTTCAACAGATCCTAAATAGAAATTTGATAAATCAGATAGATATTATTGGATATAATGTACGAGAAAGTTTTGTCTAAACCTTTGGCTAATTTGTAATGGAATAAATTGGCAATTAAATTACACGACATTATTGGATTAATATTATTATAGATTACTTTATTAATTGCTTATATGGGTAGTATGCTATTAAAATTGAGGTAAGAGACATAATAAATCATATGATCCGTACCTCAATTTTAATAGCACACTACTCATATATTTTATCAAATGTATAGTATGAATAGCTATCTTCATAAATGTTTGACGTTAGAAATTTAATAAGGATTATTTATTAAATTCAAATATATTATATTAAGGATTTTGACACAAAATTTATTTTAAAATTACATTTCGGAATTCAGCACGGTATACCTGTATTTTTTTTTTATTATAATTTGTTTTGGTTTTAATTTTAATTACTATTATCTAGTTTGATCACTTTGTACCCTAGCAATCGAATATAATTTCTCCTTTTTTTATTTCAGGGAATATTTAAGTGCATTATTGATTTAATTTATCTATATTGGATCTTTGTGTTACGTTCAAATTTTTCTGATATAATGATCATAAACCACGTGTTGTCATCATAACTCAAGAATTGGATCACATCATTCTAAAAATTACGTATTATTTAAACAAATGAGTATAAATTACTAAAAAATATAAACTTTTACATAATCATCTGATGCTTTGTCTAAATATTGTGAAATTTCTAAAGGCAACCAAGGATATACTTTAAAATTAATATTACGATTAGTTGTGTTTAACAATATTAATAATTGCAATGTAAAAAATAACGTTAAAATAGGCTATCGGATTTCCTTAACCAAAAAATTAATGTATGATGATGAAAATAGTTAATCTGAGAAATAAAATATCTCATGAGCGAATATTTCAATGTACAAATAATACCGTGAATATCAAAACCTACTTTAATTAATCATTAAATTACCTTTTAATTGTAAATTTCTAATTCATGTAATTGAGAATCTTGAAACAATTAAAATGCATAAAGTTAATATTTATATTTTTACTATCGAAAACAAAATTTAGATAATACCTTCATTATTTTCATCCTTTTTAAGATATGAAGTAATAAGAGACGAATTAATAGGTTTCGTCAGATTTTTAAATGCAAATGCTCTACTTGTATATACAGCATCAGGATTTGTTTTACGTGAAATTAAAATATTTGGTATTTCTTTATCAGCTTTTTCAAATGCTTCGTTTATTTCTTTTCCATAATATCCATGTTCTTTAGTATCTTTATAATTCTCAACATCATATCTAATAGAATTATCCCAAAAATCTAATATACTATATAATTCATCGGCTGTTGGTCGTTGATTTGGATTTGCATTCATACACCTATAAGCTAACTTCTTATAAAATTCAGGGGTTCCTTTTCCAAATTCTGGACGAAGTCCATTACAAATATCTAAGGCTAAAGTCACATCATGTTTTCTGTCATAAAAGGGAGGGTTTCCAGATGATAATTCAGCCATAATTACACCAAAACTGTAAATGTCAGAAGCTAAAGTATATAATTCTCCATTCAAGACTTCTGGAGCGATATAGGGTAATACTCCATATATTTTGTCATTCGATTTTTGCTTATCTGCTG